CTGAGAGTTCCTGTCTGTACCTTGTGGCTAATAGCCACTGATGGACCTCTGCTCCATATGTTCAGAGCCATCTTTGGTGGGGGGGTTTTAATGGCAGGTTCTATACATTTTGGATGATATTCTAATGTTTTCCCGTTTCTTCCCCCCTCCCCCCGCCCAAGAATTAAATGTTTTATTTTGCCAGTGCCAAGGTGATGGGGAACACAAGAGAGGCTCTATCTGTCTGGGTCAGGAACCTCTGGCCTTGAAGCCATGGAGATGACTAGACAGCTGAGGGCTCGCAGTTCTGCCCAGACCCAACATTTGATTTCTGAGTCTTCAAAATAGATGGCATCTTCTGCATGAAATGATGAGATGCCTGCTATTTACAAGGGGGTTAATAAGCATGTGGCCTCTGTGGGTTATTTCTTTATTGCTTTGCTTCTGCCCTACCTTTCTGCCCAGTCCTCTCCTCCATTTTATCCTCACAACAACCCTGTGAGGTAGGTTAGACTGAAAGTATGTGACTGGCCCAAGGTCACAAAGCAAGCTTCCATGGCACAAGAGGGGATTCAAACCTGGGCCTTCCAGGTCCTGGTCCAGCCCTCTAGGCTACTATACCACACTGGCTATTTGTTCAGGCTTGTTGAAATCCAATCATAGACCGTTAAAAAAGGTAAAGGTAAAGGTTCCCTTGCTCGAAAGCCAGTCGAGTCCGACTCTAGGGTTGCGGTGCTCATCTCCGTTTCAAAGCCGAAGAGCCAGCGCTGTCCGAAGACGTTTCCGTGGTCATGTGGCCGGCATGACTAAACACCAAGGCGCACGGAACGCTGTTACCTTCCCACCGAAGCGGTACCTATTTATCTACTTGCAATTTCTTGCTTTCGAACTGCTAGGTTGGCAGGAGCTGGAACTAGAGACGGGAGCTCACTCCGTCATGCGGCACACCCGGGTCTCGAACTGCTGAACTACTGACCTTCCACAGCCTGCAGTTCTTAACCACTTGAGCCACCGTTACTAGGCATTAAATTTACTTGATTAGCAGTACAACCCAGCGCTTACTGCAGTCTCAGACCATTGATTTCAGCGGGCTGACCCTGCATAGGGTTGCCCTGTAAAGCACACCGGTGTCTAGACCATGGTTAGAAACAGTGCGATATGATCCAAACCAAGCCCTGACCTGGATGGCCCAGGTGAGCCTGATCTCACCAGATCTTGGAAGCTAAGCAGGGTCGGCCCTGGTCACTATCTGGGTGGGAGACCACCAAGGAATACCAGGGTTGCTACACAGAGGCAGGCAATGGCAAACCACCTCTAAACGTCTCTTGCCTTGAAAATCCCTATGGGGTCACCATACGTTGGCTATGACTTGATGGCACTTTACACCACCATGATTCACACCACATTCGGCAGCCTTTTGACTTCCCGGGCTCCTGGCACAGCATTGGAAGCAGCTGTTTGAGCTGACCTTGGGAACCACTGGGCTTGCCCTGCCGTTTGTCCCTGACTTGACATATCCCTGAGCAGGGGGGTTTTTTTGTAGAAAAAGCCCAGCAGGAACTCATTAGCATAATAGGCCACGCCCAACAGCAGAAACTCATTAGCATATTAGGCCACACCCCTGGTGGTGCAGCTCATTACCGTATTAGGTCACACATCCCATGCCTGCCCTTGGCTTGCCCAGGCAAGCCCCCCCCATGAAGGGAAGGGAAGGCAGTTTAAACAGGCAGGGGAAGGCACAGGGAGGCATTTAATCGCTGGGGGGGTCGCTCTCCAGGCCTTCCCTCTGTAGCCACAGACAGAGAGGTTTTGGTTGTAGTGGGCGTGGCCAACTCTGAAGCCAGCCGGAACTCCGTTCCTGTGCGTTCCTGCCAGGCCCGTAGCTAACATGGGGCCCACGGGGCCCGCCCCCCTTGTGTTTCTTCTGGGCCTCCTCCCTCCAGGGCTGCCCCCAAAGTGCTCCAACTTACCACCTGCACTGTTCTTCCATTTAATTAGCTGGCGGGCCCCCCCAAGGCCCCCTCCCAAAGAATTCCCTAGCTACGGGGCTGGTTCCTGCCCAATAATAGCCCTGTCCCTGAGTTAGGAGGGAATTTGCAAAACTTAATGGGCACGAGTGTCTGTTTCTCTTTTGATTATTCATATTGGGGGGGCACTGCCATATTTAATATTTTACTCATTTGAAAAAAAGAACATGCAAAGCAGCCCTAGGAAAGAGTCAGACCCACATTATATAGTGGGGTGTAGAATCTGACAAGCCTTATCGTACTAATGTGATGGTGAAAAATGTTTGTGCATTTTGGGGGTTTTGTTGTTGTTGTTAACAGCAGACCAAGCAACTGCTCACGCTGAGGAAGGACCTGGGTTGCAAAAGTGTTTTCAGCTAGCAGAATTAAGTGCATTGAGAAACTGTTTAGAGTTGCAGATATTTTGGTGATGGGGGGGGGGGGAAATTTCTCTCTAAAGTAATTGAGTCGTTGGAAAGGTTTTACGACTTTCTGTTTTTCTTGTTTGCTGGCAGGGATCCCAGGAGGACTTTGTGTATACTCCATTTCAGTTTTATTCCCCATTGTTCTGGCTTTCACAAAACCTATCAGCCAAAGCAATTAAACTGGATGTTAATCAAGAATGCAGGCCTGGTCTGGCTCACCCATGCTTATTCTTGAATGGCAATTCTCTCACATTACTAGTCTCTGCCCACTAACCTGGGGTGGAGAGGGGGAGGTATCTTTGGAAGGGAGTTCAGATGCAACTAACCTGATGCATTCAGTTTATAATGCCTTGGGCTTTTTTGTTTGTTTGTTTAAAACTAATTAACTATATAGGCTTTCATAACATTAAAAGTGACAGTGTGTGCGAGGTGTAGGCAAAGGTAGTTAAATGCTTAGGAATTTCACTGAAATATGTGATGGCATCTTTTTTTTTTTTTAATTGTTGATTCAAGGTCCATGTTGCCGGATGTGGTCGACCACTTTCGCCTGCAGAATCCTCATTCGACAGGACATGAA